CAGCCGAAAGCAGATCGACTGAGACGCCGCCCTGTTTCTTTCCGCCAAAGAGATCTGCATTTTCAGATTCCAGACGAATAGTTGATATGAGCATGGGGTACCCGGCGTACTTGTGCGGTACAAGTACTAAAAAGAAATCAAAGTGAAAGAAAACGTTAGAAGACGCATTCTATTCCGTCTTCGATTGTTGTAATATAAGAAAATAACAAAATTAAAGTGAGAAATCGCCTACACTGGCGGTATCGTTCATAGATGATGCTTTGAGAACGAATAAGCAGATGCAGATGAGAACGATTGGGCCCATTCGAAATTCTGCTTCGGTTGCACAGGTAATGGTAGGCAGAATTGATTGCGTGAAATCTCGCCTAAGGAGGAAGTCACAAACAGGAGTTGACTTTAGTAAACGAGTAAGTACAGAACAATACTGTCAGATGGGCAGGATGACAAAAAGCAGCCTGTCAATATGAAAAACGTAATACCTGGCCATTGGGATTCTTATCGGGATGGTATTTCATTGAAAGCTGATAGTAGGCCCTACGAATGACGGCCTCTTCCGTTTCCCTAGAATGAAAACACGCGGTAGTGAGCGCAAATCAACAGGAGGAAGAGAAAACAGCAGCAAAGTAGACTCAAAAATATATGTGGTACTCTTTGATGTTGGCAGGATCAAGTTCCAGTTCACGAAGAGCATCGTGATAAGAGAGCTTGCAAGGCTTCTTGTCTGTTTCAGCTCGCCAGGCGCCGAGAACGTCACGCAAAAATGCAATCTATGGGTTGAGAGCAAATATGCAAAAGTATAGTAGATCATATAAGGGTAATTAATACGCGGTAGTACACTTCTATGTGTGAAATATTGACTGGAATGCTCAAATAACATATATGGTGGACCGGTGGAAATTCCAAATTTGTTGAGTCGTAGCCGGTGTCGCAGTGCCTTTCGGGACGGCGACCCCCGACATGAATTTTCAGGCGCGAACCGCGTTCATGTGTCTGCGTTCAAGTTAGATAAGGGGTCTACTTAGTTTCCATTCCCTGCGGTTTCCCCGTCCCTGTGCGTCTTATCGGTAATTGCTGAGTTATTGCCGCTGACGGCGATACACACCTGTACCCGCAATGCAAACTGCATGAATAGACATAGAGCGATCAGGAGGCCAGCAGGTTCGGCACCCATAACTACTGTGTGACGCCGTACAGAACCCACCTAAGAAGATGGAAGCTTGCTTACTTTTAAAACGTTCCCGTAATCGCCTCTTCTTCTCATGATATATATTATATAAACTATAATACGTTAGCCGCTGATCGACTGGTAGTTGGGCTCAAGAACAATTTCCAAGGCATAACGGGACGGGTCAGTTCCGTAAAAGATCGGGGAACGCCAATCTACCGTTGAATACAATTATATATATAAATTATAACATATATATAACACACACTACACGTCTGAAAACGACCTAAGGAAATACCGTCGAACATTTCCACAATAAAGTTTGTTTTCCTTTACCAAAGAACATATTTCCATCAAAATATTATATGTATATGCAGATAACGGGCACAAAACAAGATAACAGAGATTGGAATGATCAATTCCGGCAAACTAGCCGTCGTTAGCTGGTCATACGCAATACCGGTTTTGAAGAACATCGAGTAAGAAATCGATTCGGTCTGTTTATTGATACTAAAGTATTTTTGAACTTTTCGATTTAAGCTGCTATTTTTATTTGCTTTCTATTCACGTAAGATTTTATTATTGTCTATTTCTGTCTGTTTATCTGCTTTGTTTGTCCGAACTTATGATGATGATTTCATCTCTAAAGTAAACTAGTACCTTTTTGAATGAACGAAAACTGCAAATTTTATCGACGACAGCCCATGATGCCAGCTGTTGCATTTTGCATCCTACTTGTCGCATATGCGACACATAAACATTAACTCTATCACGTTCTGTCCATAAAAAAACACGACGAAGAAAACACCGTTGCGTTTGGCAGAACGCATACAAAGCCAACCATTGAAATGAATGTCAATTTCGACGTTTATGTCGACAAAGTGCCGTTCTAACTTTATCAAGAGCGTCGAAATGGAGTCACATATGTAGAAAAAAGAACACAGTAAGTCTGCAGTTATCCATCTTCAAGAGACTTGGCTAAGTATCGATATCGAATCGCAACTTATTACACCGCCGGCTTTTTGTTGTTTTCGTACGGACAGATAATCCTTACTCAGCAGCAGGGGCGGCAGAGTAACTGTTTTATTTACTAAAACAGTTACTCCGCCACCCCTGCAGCAATGGTGCACAAATTTTAAAAACTTATTTTTTAACTCCGATGACTTAATATACGCTATTGCTATAGTCTGTAAGCCTCTATTGTTAAGCAATTTTAAAAGCATTATTCATGCTAGCGTTTAAATTTTCACCTAGACATACCAAGGTATTCTAGGCAGCTTTTTAATTTTCTTTCCCTTAAACTTGCCGTAATGTCTTGCGAACATGTTATAATCTTGTGTGGTGACTTCAACTGCATGAACTTATACCCCCTTATATTTTTAGGTTTTGACGACTTAGTTTCCTTCAAAATTCGTGTTGACGCTCCTCTTGATCACATACTGTTCAACTATACCAAGCTTTTTGCTGTCGAAAAAGACCTCGATTGTCAGACTCATACCATTCCGTGTTAATGGGCCTGCCAACCATCTATTCAAATTCTAAGAAACCGCTGAAAGCAAAACCCAAAAGGAGACTTAAGGTGTGTGACACGTCCACACATAATATTTGTTTGTTCCAGACCAGCATATCTGAAAATCTTCCTGTCCTCATTGAACACTCAAACGTCGAGCAGTTTTCTAGTTACTTTAAAGCTCATTGATGAAAGTCCACCTGACCGATTTCTACACTTAACGATCTTTTTGTTAGTCGACTTTTCACTTCTTCTACATCTTCGTCTCCTCTCTCTTCGGATGAAATTAGAAGAGTCTTAAACGCATCACTGGCCAACGCAATAAACTAGCACATGCCAATGCCGACTTAGACGGTTTAAATGCAAAATTCATCCACATCCGCCGGCTCCTATCCTCCGTCAAACGGTATCTCCTCATTACCAAGTGTCCTTGCTATTGTGGCTGCAGCAACAGTGATGAAACACCTTAAAAAGGTTCGAGGTCCAACAGCTGCCGTGCTAGAGGGTATCTCACCGTTTCTCCAAAAATGTTGCTCTTTTCAGTTAACCCCTGCCTCGACAAACCTTATCAACTTATCCTTCATGGAGTGTAAGGTTCCCGATGATTGGCTTTCAGTGAGAATCACTCCCATCCCGAAAGAAACCTTCTACTTCTGGCCCCAAATCCTTCCGTTCAATTGTCTGCTCTTCTGCACTACTGAAACTTGCAGAACGAGTGGCCTTGGAAATAATTCCAGGTTTTCGTCTGTTTTTTCCGATCCTCTGCAAGTTGCATATAAGACTAGACGAAGTACACTAGATGCTGTTGCTCTGGTAGTCCATTCTTTTCTAAGGGATTTAGGTAAGGGTTGTCTTGCATACGCAAGCACATGTGTTGGCTACTCCTCCGCCTTTAAAACTATCCCGCGCCATCTTCTTCTTAATAAAACGTCTGAATGAGGCTCTCTCGGCTGACCTGTATTTTTGCCTGGAGACTGCTTCGCTTCCCGCCCTCAACTAGTTCAGTGCGGCAAGGGAAAATCCACAGGCCTTCCCAACAACTGTGGAGTTCTTCAAGGGTCTATATTATCCCCTTACCTCTTCTCCCTCCATACTGAGGACCTACGATCGCCAAACTAATAATCGTATGTTAAATATACTGATGATATGTTTGTTGGCTATCCTCTCAAAAGTCAGATACATCTCTAAGTACTCAAAGATGACCTGGACTACGTCTCAGCGTGGTCGTTAGAAAATGGGCTACTACT